CAATGTTTTTCAGGTAGAGGAAGTTCCTATCCCAGCGTCAAGTAAAGGAAAAGAAACTGACCTCCAACCAGTTAAAGGAGGAACTTTGACTGACATTTCTGAAGCTGGTGGTAAGGATTTCACATGACTTTCTTTTTCCTTTCTCAAAAAAGTATTATGAATCTCATGGATTTTGAAAAAAAACTTCCAACATTGTTCAATGGTCATTAAATTAGCTTAATATTAGCTTCATACAGAGGATATGATTTTATTATTATATGCACACAATAATTGGTCCCATTTAATACATTGTATAACACATTTGTYATCTTATGAAAACCATCTTTAAGGCAAAAGTGACAAAGCATCTGARGCCGATGAGACAGAGGAACAACCAGAGGAGCCTGAACCACAAACCTCTGCTCCAGGSTCGCCATCTCAATCCCAACCAGAGATCTTTAAAGAACCATTAAGCTTACCAGACGCAGAACCACATGACGAGAACCTAACAGAGCAGACACACCATATCATTATACCAAGTTATGCTTCATGGTTTGACTGTAATAGGTARTGTTTACAATTACTTTGAATACAGGATAATATAATATGGTAAATTGCTTAATTGGTTATTAAATGTTTTGTATATATCATCTGGAAAAGGTTGTCCTCTTGAAAGAGACATTTCCTGTAGAGCTTACTTATATGTAAGAAATGTCTTTTTTTTTCTAGTGGACAACCTTATCAAGATCAGCTGTATKAGAGAAAAACATTTCAATCTAATCTTTGAATTTTATTCCAATGTTTGAGTACATGTATTTTGAACATGGTATATGTTCATGATGTTTTATTGTCATTTCTCTTTTAGTATACATGCCATCGAGAGAAGAGCCTTGCCAGAATATTTCAACAGTCAAAACAAATCCAAAACACCCGAAATGTAAGTAACTTGATGGATGAACTTATGTCTTAACATGCTACAATCCCGGACAAAACAGTTGAGACATAAATAGGCTGAATTTCGATGATCTATCTGTGTATTTCTGTGCAAATCTTCCCCTTTCCCCCTCAAATTAATGTTGAAAGGACTGAACAATCATGCACACCCTTCTAGCATCACGTCACACACACAACATTGTTTGGTGGGGGGAGGGGAGGATCAAAATCAGTGATTTTTTTGAGATATGAGAAATGGGATATTTTGCAGTGAAAAAATGCCAGTGTCTCAACTAGTTTTGTCCGTGATTGTAGTATCCTTAGTGATAAAGTCTTTTTTATTTCAAGTTAATCAAGTAATTACAAATGTTGAAAGACTGACAACTATTTTATTCCTATTATTGTATTTTCAAAAATGCATTGTACATGTACTTCATATAAACATGTAGTTAGGGTATGCAGAGTTTTTCACTATTTATTTGGCTTCATRTGATCTCTGTTTTTCTCGTTAGATATCTCGCCATTAGAAACTTCATGATTGATGCCTACCGTCTTAATCCAACTGAATACCTAACAGCCACAGCCTGCAGGAGGAATCTAGCGGGYGATGTGTGTGCTATAATTAGAACTCATGCATTCCTGGAACAGTGGGGACTKATCAACTATCAAGTAGATGCAGATGCYAGACCAGCACCCATGGGACCTCCTTCTACTTCTCATTTCCACGTCATGGCTGATACACCAGCRGGTCTGCAGCCATTACAGCCACCTAAAAGCATGGTATGATATCCAGTTATWAATGCATTGTATGCATGATGATGAAGATGATGATGATGTGTGATAATGATGATGTTGATRATATAATTTTRAWAATAATTTATAACTGCCACAGAAATKTTTGAAGTAATATGAAATTTTTGTTATTCTTACCCAATGCAGATATCAGCTTCACACCAAATGATGCAGTTTAAAGATGAAGGAATYACTAAAGACATCTCTAAATCTCCTGCAAGTAGCACAAGTTTTGGGTATGTACTATTTAATGTCAGAGACAGAACAGTTCAAACATCTTTAGTTTCCACCATAATGAAGTGAATGTCATATGCAAAGGATCTGYTATGAGAAAATGATTTATTAAAATCGTTTTCTTTGATTTTCAGTCTCCATACAGACCAGTATTTATCAAAGAAAAGTCAAAAGGTAAGTCTTCTTGTTGTTCAAAGGTATCAWTTGTGRTTATTATTAACATGTGTCATGGCTGTTTGTTTGTAGGCTGCTACAGCAACTAAAGAATGGACAGACCAGGAAACATTACTACTACTSGAGGTAAAACTAGAKGTTTAGATTATCATAAGCCATTTCACAAATAACACAGCCATTCAAAATCAAAAAAGTAGCGAAGTAMCATTACTGTWCCAYCAATGAAAACGTCAATRTGTTAATTTACAAATATGAAAACGTCGAAATTCAAAACGACCGAGMACTTTAAAGACGCCAAAATTCACTGAAAGATGGTGATGTTGCCATTCACCTTGACTTTTAACTTCTTTGTAAAAAATGTTTGGTGAATTTGACGAACTTTAAGGATCATAATCTTGATTCCTTGCTTAAATATCAGTGCATTGTTTAAACCAGGGCATGGAAATGTATAAAGATGATTGGAATAAGGTAGCAGAGCACGTAGGCACGCGTACACAAGATGAATGCATCCTCCACTTCCTAAGATTACCAATAGAAGATCCTTACCTTGAAGATATGAAGCTAGGACCTTTGTCTTACCAACCAGTACCGTTTAGCCAACAAGGAAATCCTATTATGTCTACTGTGGCATTTCTAGCTTCTGTTGTGGACCCAAGGGTTGCAAGTGCTGCAGCGAAGGCTGCGTTGGGTATGTACACTTGTTGTAGCAAAGTTCGATCAGCTGTTGTTATTGAAACACTTCAGTTCAAGGGTTTCTTTTTCAGTGCAACACTAATTACTTATAATTGTTGTGTAATTTTCATTAACAGAGGAATTTTCAAAGATGAGAGACGAGATACCTAAATCAGTCATCGAAAGTCACGTGAAAAAAGCCGCGAATTCTAAAGCAGTGAAAGTAAAAGACGAACCAGTGACTGGGGAAGATGCTCCAGGTAAAAGACTCCTCACGGAATTCCTGTGTAATACACATCACTGTTTATTAGTCGGACTAGCCGAAGGCTAGGTCGACTTAAGGTTTACCTTTTAGCCAATCTATCTATCTATGTGTCATGTCGCGTTTGGACCACCGGAAGTTAAGATTTTAATAATTAACTATTGGGTTGGCTGTGTTATTACCTTACCGGAAGCTCAATCGATCTCAATCCTATAGATGTACGAATATCGTTAGTAAATGTCATATGCTACTTGGCTTTTATATGACAAAAAAAGTATTCGTTTACAAATGTGGTATCTGTGATCTCATCGGAATGCATCAGTCTAGGCATCATAAGTACGCGCATGTGCAGATCGCTTGGTGCTTCGAGTAATATGCTTACGAGACTAAATCAATGGCCTTTCTAGCGTTAGGCAGTCTTATGTGGGCAAAGATTTCAAATTAGAACAAGAAGAAACATTTTTTTCAATAACAAAAAGGCGAGTTTAATGATTTTATAGTATCATTTACTTTGTAAAGTATTTTCTTGTCCTGAGAGGTCAAGGTTATCACTTTATCAGTTTATTTTAGTCTCAAGAGAGTTTGGATATTTTGAACTAGACGCTCTTATTAGACCGAGAGTTCGGCTTTTTGGAGAAAAATTAAGAAATGTATATTTATTCTAATTTTTATATTTTATGTAATATCCTCCTGTCTTTCTCAAGGTTCATTTACATTCATAATATAATCATATGATTAGACAGGATATAACATCATAATCTTTTCACTCGTGTCTATCAATTTTCAAAAATAGCTAGTCCGACTTCACGCCCCAGGGGCGTCTAGTTTGAAAAGGTTTGCTAAAGCTGAACATGTTCTCATCTAGCAGAAGAAGAGTCTATGGATGTCGATGAAACAGAATCTTCAAAACAAACTCCAGCTGAGCCTTCTACAGCCTCTCAGGAGAAGGTAATTATGTCTTTCTACTTCCCTTCCTTTCGTTGATGTCTTTGTTTCATTCTCATTTTCTTTTCCTTTCTATCCTTTCAATTGTCTCTCGTTCCTTCCCTTCCCTTGTCTCCATTTGTTTGTTTGTTGGCGTTATGTACTTCTATGTTTTTTCTCACTACCATGCTCCTAACCCTACTCCATTGTCACTTTATATTGCTCACATTCAGGATGACGAGTCATCTAAAGATGAAGAAACCTCTGAGTCAGCATTAGAGATGAATGGCGAAGGCGAATCAAGTCAGCAACTTAAACTGGAAGACAGCAAAGAAGGCAATATTGCCACTGCTGCAGCATCGGCATTGGCAGCGGCTGCAGTGAAAGCAAAGGTTTGTCATTGCTGAATACATTCCTTCGTAAATCAAAGATAATCAGCTTTCATTTACTAAATATAAGAGTCTCTTTTACAGCATCTCGCGCAAGTGGAAGAAAGAAAGATTAAAAGTTTAGTTGCTTTACTTGTTGAAACACAGATGAAAAAACTCGAAATAAAACTCCGCCACTTTGAAGAACTTGAAACCATCATGGACAGAGAACGAGAAGCAGTTAGTATTAATCATTGTATTAGTATTTTTTTTTTTTTTTTTGTATTACATTGTTATTGACCAAAAATGGGCCATTTTTGACGATTTTGGTGGGCTATAGTCCATGCATTTATGCTTTTTTTTTTGTATTACATTGTTAATCGTCCGAGTCCAATGAGAACAATGACTTGTGACAGGTCTTCATCGACCCTTAAAATCAAATATGTTTTCGCGCATTTTCAGTGCAATACGATGATGTATTTGTCTTTTATTATCCATACCTGTCCTTGTTGTACGCTTTCTTCATGGACGTCACTCAAACACGATTACAAATGCAATKTGATTTTAGTTGGAATACCAGCGACAGCAGTTACTGGCTGAACGTCAACAGTTTCACCAAGAGCAACTGCGGGCCGCTGAAATTCGAGCACGTGCTGGATACATGACATCACCGCTGGGTACCCCTGGTGGACAGCAGCAGAATGGTCCCCAGGCCCATGCTGTACAACAACCATCTACGCCACAGCCATCCCAAACCGCACAACCTGCRCAGCAACAACAACAACAACARCAGGCTAAACAAGTTACACAAAATCAACAGGCTCAACAAGATTCGCAAACATTACCCGTACAACCCCAACGGCCGCAGACTGGTTCTCAGGGACAGCCRTCGTTAGCACAACARCAACAGTACCATATGCTACAACAAGGACAAGATCAGACGAATCGACCTCAGCCAACTACTCAAGGTACTATACATGTAYTTTGATAAGCAGATAATTTCCTTGACAGTGGATTTTAATAGGTGCATTCCTTGCTAATTGACGTTGCCCCTCTSCTTAGTCAGTAGTGCTGCGCGTATGTTTCAAAGATTTGTTAATGTTATTCTTTAATAATCCCTAATAATTKTTAATTGAAGGTGTACCGAACCAARCYAGTGCGCCGTCTCCAGCGGCAGCAGCGTCACCAATGATGAACCCTGGGTCAGTGAACTCCATCGGCTCTCACCCTGCATCAGGGTGTAGTACTCCTGCTTCCTACCTCGGCGCTGCATCGCCAGCACCCCAAGCCCATGGACCAGGAACCCCAGGGGGTGGAACTATACCAACGGCTAATGCCTTGTCAATAGGTGGTGCRGAGGGTTCTCATACCCCTTCTCCTTCCAACCCTAACAGTGGACAGGTTGAGTAAAGATTTAATGTATTTGTAAATCAGAACCTATTACGTATTATGACAGAGATGTATGCATCGACTAGAACTAACATTCTCTCTCTCTTGTAATTTAATATCTATAGAATTAATGTAGCCTATGACTTTTAAACATTAAATATCGCCATCTTTTATTCAGTGTCTTGCTTTTTATAATTCATTTCTGAGCCAGGTAGCGGTGCTACCTGGCTCATTGTAGAGAAAAAGGGCTGGGTACGAGCTTGATTACTAAACTTCTCACTTCGATAAAAATTCTAGTCTCATGGATACGTGGCAAAAACTCAACCATTCAACCATCTCAAAACACCATTATGATGACTGTATAACTCGATTGAATTTCTCAGGAATCCCTCAGTAGAACGTCGATAAAATAACTGCATTCTAGTCTCATGATACGTTGCAAAAAGGAACTTTTAAAACGTTTTGATATTTTAAGACGGAACCATTAAAAAACTTTCAGGCAATTTGCGCGCAATATGACTGAATTACCATTCAACCATCTCAAAACACCATTATGATGACTGTATAACTCGATTGAATTTCTCAGGAATCCCTCAGTAAAACGTTGAACCATTAAAAAACTTTCAGGCAATTGGCGCGCAATAATTAAAATGAAGCCATCTCAAAACACCATCAGTTATAACGATTACGCATAACTGGATAAAAAATGCTAATGAGGTTAAATTTATGCTAATACACATAACACGATCAGAAAAGCGTTGATCAAACTAAACATTAAAAACTCGTCAAAAAGGGTGGTGACCAATCACCCCTGTCACCACCCCTAAATCCGACACTGTTTTACCTCACCGAAAAGACGGAATGCGGCCGTTTGAAACGGCCGTTTTAACGGAAAAGCGTTTTAATGTTTTCCTGTGTAAGGTCACAAATCATAACAAACATTCAAAATCGCTCTCAAGATTTTTCTTCACGGCTTCCTTTCTCCTCTATATAGCCGTCTTGCCTTCATATTTCATTTCTAACTATTGTCTGGTTCTGGTCGTTCTGTCACAATTTCGACACCGAAGATTTGCACAGTGCTGTGGTGTGCAATGGATCAGATGTGGCCTTTTTGATTATCCCTTTCAGTCTCGTGATTAATTGCTCATTATCACTCTTAAAGTAAAACTGAACAACTCGATCTGGGAGGCCAGTGTTGACTATCGTTGCCTTGAACAGCGCAACAACGCTTTTCTGATCGTGTAATGTGTATATTAGCATGAATTGATCCTCATTAGCATTTTTTTCCGGTTATGTGAAATCGGTCTAAATTATACACAAATAGAAGAAACTCCCACATGGGTCATTATCAGTTTTTTTGGAAAGTCGTCGTGACAATTTTATTTGCTCTTTTTGTACAATCATTCATCAATCGAATGATAATATTTTCAACCCTCGGTAAATATTTCCAAGGGATGTGAACCGTCCTAACATTCTACTCTTAACAATTCCGGTCTTCGACTGAAAGTTTACTTAACAGTGCTGCCAGAGAGATGCAAGACCGCTTATCAATGCAAACAAGTTTCAGCAGCAAGCTTTGTATACACTTCGGCCATCGTGAGCAAAGAACAGGTCGAGACCATGAAAGGATCTGCCATCAATGCACCTTATTTTGGAGATTAGACATATGATTGATTTTGAAACTGACAGTAAAAAAAAACAAATGAAAACCTATCGTATCCGTTAGGGTAGCTGTTTAACGAGTAAGGCATCGTACGTACTAATACCTCGTTCATATAGCGTTATAATGCCTGATGATACTCGGTTTAAATTGAATGAAAAATAATGCAAACGCTATAAAAACCCATTATTGTGGAAATTCCTMAATTCCAATAAGTATTTCTGTCCTGCATACGGTCGATCACCAAAATATTGCGAACATGGATTTTTCCTATAATACACAAGRTGCTTACATGATCGCGTCTAAGTTTCCTTGTCGACCATGTGGGCTAAAATCGACAAAACCAAATATCGGCGTTAACTTGGTCTCATTGTTTATCTTCCGGTTAATCTAAAAGTTTACTGTGACGCAGTTTATCAGCTTCTATCTTGATGCTAATGACGAAAGTTAACAAATGATAAGTACTATGTCATTTATATGCAATTTAGCTGATCCAAAATTGAACTKTAATTACTGTACTTCGATCAGAAASTGCCAAATACTGACAAATTACGCACCGATTGAATTTCTGTGACGCATCAACCTTATTCRTGAGACTGATTGCGGGTAATGYTGTTTTATCATGATCAGTTGTTAACGGTTCCACTTATTTTTTTCAGGRGTATGTTTGACTATTTCAGACYATGGAAACAKTCTGCGGTCRAGCTGATTCAGTGAAAATTTATTAAGCATTCTAACCATTTGAAAATTGGCCGGCAGAACSG